ACATAGTGGAGCAGATGCCCTTGTTGTATGAATTTGCCTCATTTGGATATATGCCTAAGAGTGGAATTGCTGGGTCTTGTGGTAGATTGATTCCCATTTTCCTGAGGAACCTCCATACTGCTTTCCAAAGCGGCTGTACGAGTTGGCACTCCCACCAGCAGTGGAGGAGTGTTCCCCTCTCTCCATATCCTCTCCAGCATAAATTGTCTTCGGTGTTTTTGATTTTAGCCATTTTGACTGGAGTTAAGATGGTATCTCAGAGTTGTTTTGATTTGCATTTCCCTGATGGCTAAGGATGTTGAGCACTTTCTTAAGTGCCTCTTGGCCATTTTAGCATCCTCTATTGAGAACTCTCTATTTAGTTCTGTACCCCACCTTTTAATTGGATCCTTTGGTGTTTTGGAGACTTGTTTCTTGAGTTCTTTTTTCAATTTTGGAGATTAGCCCTCTGTCAGATGTGGGATTAGTGAATATCTTTTCCCATTCAGTGGACTGCCTTTTTGTCTTGTTGACTGTGTCCTTTGCCTTACAGAAGCTTTTTAGTTTCAGGAGGTCCCATTTGTTAATTGTCGATCTCAGTGTTTGTGCCACTGGTGTTATGTTCACGAAGTGGTTTCCTGTATCAACTCATTGAAGGGTATCTCCCACTTTCTCTTCTAAAAGTTTCAGTGTGGCTGGATTTATGTTGAGATCTTTGATCCATTTGGACTTAAGTTTTGTACAAGGTGATGAACATGGATCTATCTGCAGTTGTCTGCATACCAGCACCCAGTTATGCCAGCACCATTTGCTGAAGATGCTTTCTTTTTTCCATGGTATAGTTTTAGCTTCTTTGTCAAAAATTAAGTGTTCATAGGTGTGTGGGTTAAAATCAGGGTTTTCAATTCGGTTCAATTGGTCTACCTGCCTATTTTTGTGCCAATACCAAGCTGTTTTCAGGACTATAGCTCTATAATAGAGCTTGAAGTCAAGTATGGTGATGCCTCCTGAAGTTCCTTTATTGTATAGGGTTGTTTGGCTATCCTGGGCCTTTTGTTTTTCCATATAAAGTTGATTAGTGTTCTTTCCAAGTCCTTGAAGAATTGTGATGGAATTTTGATAGGGATTGCATTGAATCTGTAGACTGCTTTTGGCAAGATTGCCATTTTTATTATGTTGATCCTACCAATCCAAGAGCACGGGAGATCTTTCTGTTTGTGTAGTAAAACATTAAATGGTTTTTACTACAATATTAAATCCATTAGGCCCAAACTGAAGCCTGTTTTGTTCCACCAGCAGGTATAACAACTATTTTATTCTAAAGTGATTACAAAACAACCCACAAACCTTTCTAAAATGAAAAGTAGTATAAGTTGGTAGTGATTACAACTATCTATAAAACGAATGGATATGTAATAGGTGTGAGTAAATTTGGTTACTTTATGGCTATGTTCCTTTAGAAAAATAAGATCAGATAGTTATTCAGCCTCTACTATGGTGAAAGTTTCTTTTGCCAATGATGGCAGTTAACACCAAGGTCACTTATTTGACAATGTGCAGAGACTAAGAGTCTCTGGAGCACTCAGCCTGCAATGGAATGTCTTTATCAAACCCTTTCCCTCCAAGCTCAGAGATCTACAAAGGAGACAGAAAGTGTATATGAGTCAGCATTGGTGTACGACTCGATGGGAACTCTAGAAACATAAAAGCTGATGAGCATAAGGTTTCAGAGAATCTGTGAAGGTACACACAAAACCTGCACAGGCTCAAAGCAGACAGATTTCCAGGGTGGACAAGTGGAAGTAGACACAAAGTCTTCTACCCAAGAAACTGTTTTCAGTTGATAGCTGCTGGAAGAGAAAAAAATCAATATTGTCTAATGGAGTGTTACTGGCTACATGAGCCATACTCCAGGTCAGGCCCCATGCCAAGTAGCAGTTGGTCAATAGAAAACTGACTTCACATTTCTTTTTTTAAATTAAAAAATAACTTAGTGTGTGTAACTTATTTGACTTAATTTTGTCTAGTTTGCTGAATCTTTTGTCTTATTTTTGAGAAAAAATAACGTGAAGCTAGATGGATAAGGAAATGGGGATGATCTTCAAGTGGAAATACACTCAAAATATATTATATGAAAATTGATTTAATAAAATTTGCATTATGTAATTTGTTTAAATAAAAAATTAACAGGTAATGTTTGTGTCCCATTCATTCAAATGAATGAGAAAGGGAAGAGTGACTTTAATGGAAATCAGTGAAAAAATAATCTGGTACAGTGTACTTACCCAAACCTTTTCATGCATCACAAAGGTATTCTTTTCCTTGGCACCACTGAGAGTTTACATTTGAATTCTTCATCATTGGAGGAGGTTTTCATATTTCAGACTATAGACAAAATATTAGCTTCTATTTACTAACATTCAATAGTCCAATAAAACCCTTCCTTACTTTAAAATGGAAACAACGAAAAATGTCTCCCGATGTTACCAAATCCCAGATAGGCAAAATTGCCCTCAAATGAAAATAACCATTACAATGAGTTCTCTGCAGTTCCTCACCTATATCTACTTCTGGCCTCCTAACCTTAGTCCACTAAATCGCCTGGCCTGTTCTTCCAAAGTGTGTGCTCATGAGAAAAGGTAATTCATCCAATGAATAGAGTGGAGCTTACTATATTTCCAACCTTGGCTCCCTAGTCACTAGCCACCATATGCATATGGCTATTTTATCTTGTACAAAAGGAAAAACTGTCAGGGTCAAGTCATCAAACCTATCATATCTTTTTCTTTTGGATTGCAAAGGGCTTACATCATTTAAAATAATTTACAGTGAACTGTAATTGACTGTTCTAGCTACAGAAAGTGGGGTTTTTTTAGAAGAATACCTCAGCACATATTGGGAAAATTATATTTTGGAAAATACTGAAAGCTCTCGTTATTATAACCTTTTTCATTTTATGAGTATAAGTAGGCACCTTCTGACTACCCAAAGAAGCATGCTTCACCTTTCCCTGCCATTAATTTCTTGCAACTGCTGTCAGCACTTTACAGTAACATACAAAAAGAATGAGAGCAAAACCTTTTTGAAAATTATTGATAGGGTGGGTTAAGATTACTGTTACAGAAAGCCAAACTATCATTTTTCCATAAAAATGTGGAACCCCCCCATTTAATATTAGGAAATTCAAGGGGCAACCAGAAGGTACTTGCTATTATCCAGTGAACTAATTCTTGCCTCACTGGTTAATCATATCCTTGAATTAGTGTGTGCACCCCGTGAAACATTTAAGTAACATGCACAACACATTGTTAATTGACATAGAAAAATACAATAAAAAAGCTTAGATGTATACCAACGTCATGGCTGCCTAAATGCACTAATTTCATAATCTATTATAATGTGCTTTAATTGCTATTTGAATTATTAGATATGAGCTGCTTTAACTAACATACTTTATGGAAGAGAAAAATGCTAAATAGTGTGGAGTAAGAGAATAGGATCAAGGAAGGTCAATACTTATTTCAGATGATGGGGATTCAAAGAGAAGAAAATACTGCAGTATCTGCTATACTGAGCAACAAGAAAGAAAAGAAAGAAGAAAGGAAGGGAGAGAGACAAAGTGAGAAAGTCTGTCAGTCTGTAACCCTGTTATGCTCATCTGCTTCCTTTAATGGATTTCAGGGGTTATTGTAGCAACAGTTCCCTTGCCTCCGTGCATGCACAAGCAGTTACTTCTGCTTTGAACTATTTGCTTCTCAAGTAACTACATGGTACATTTCACTTCATCTCTGAATTTGGGCAATTGCAGGTGGTGTGGAGTGATTAATGATGCAGCCTAGGACCCCATCCTTGGGCGACATCCTTGGGAAGCAGGGATTTAGCAAGGCGTAAAGGAAGAAGATGGCTGGGCACTGAGCCTGTTTCTCCATAGCCACGGTCTTTGCAGTACAGTTGTTCCAGCTGCCAGAGGCTTTCTGGTTGCCATGGTAACCCTCAGGCTCTGTTGAGAACTCAAAGCAGAGCCTCTGAAGTTAGGAACCAAACACAGGAGCCCCACAAATGCAAATGAAATACACTTGAGCAGGGGAATCTCAAGATAACCCGTGTCATATGCTACAACGCCTTTGACTAGAGAAGCTAGTAAAATCAGTGTTTGTGGGTTTTGCATTTGTAAAATGAGAGAGTTCTTGTCTGATATTCTTCATTGCTGTTATCTTCCAGGGGTGGGAGATAGACATTGCAAATCTGCACACTAGAGCGCAGGCAGTGGGAGGGGGTGGGGCCTGAAATGTGTTTAAAGGGAATGCACCCAGGCTGCTCATTCACTCGCTCGAGTTTTACATTCTCCGTCTCTAGAGAGCTCATTTGTGCAGGGCATTGTGTCAAGTCATGCGTCTGCGAAGAGAGACAAGACACTGTCCCAGAATCAAAATTAAGTAACTATAATTAATTAAAAATAACAGGATTCTCCCGGGTCCGAAGAAAGTCTATGAGGCTCTGTCCACAGAGACAGCTCCCTGGGCTCTCTCTTGAAGACAAATAAAAAAATAAAAATAAGAAATAAAAATTACTATCTCGGGAGGGGGCAGAGGTAGTGACCCGATACACCCCGATATATGGAGTGGCAGCGGAGAAGCAGCGTTTCCCTTGGAAGCTCGACTGTCAAAGCCACACCAATGTTTCTCAAGGGCTGGGAGGGAGAGAAGGCTTGTTTTTCTTTTATTAAAAAAGGAAGAAGAAAGCAAAACAAGCAAAACAAAAAACAAAAAGAAAACGGAGCCCTTTCCCCCACTGGGCTTGATTTCTAGTATGGGAAACCCCGCCTTTCTGGAGCACGGATTGGTCCAACTCCTTTTGACATAATTTATGCTTGTGTCCTCCCTGTCTGATTGGCTCCCCAGCTCAGTTCTGCTGGGAGTTGCATCCTACCTGGTTCGGAGGTGTACTGTCTTTCCACACTCGGGCTTGTATTCACCCGGCCGCTGCTGAGGTGTGAGGCAAACTCTGTGCTTGAGCACTGAGCTTGTGGAGGAGGGACTATCAAAGCGACCCGATGGGTTCTAGGAAAGCTTTTCTCTTCTCTCCTCTTCTGTGGAGTCAAACTAGAGGAGTAAGGTTGATGTTCCTGTTACTGACCCTGCATATGGGAAACTGGTGAGTAATTCAAGGACTTAAAACTGTATCCTTCGTTTTTAAGTTCTTTTTCAAAAATTATTCTAAGTAATTTGCATTTTTCCCGGGAATATGTGCAATGTTTGCAATCATTGTGTTTTCTGATTCTGTTTACTTGGATACAATATGAAATTAGCCTTTTTCTGAAGCATGGATGTTAGTTCACTTGTTATTGAGTTCTACAGAAGAACAAACTAATAGAGGTTCCATTTCCCCAAAGGGAACTAGGAGTAGAAATTACTGTCCCACTATAATCACAATTGAATGCTGCTGCTGAACTTTCTAAGTGACTCTGCATTTTAAGGACAAAGTTACTTCAGAAACTTAGTGTTACATAGTATGATGAATAGGTTATTTGTCTATAAGTCAATATTGTTGGGTTTTTTTCCTCATTCATTTTGGAATAACTTTCTTGATTAAGCCAACCTTTTATAAGCTATATTTGACCATATATAATTGACAACACTGTATGTTTTATTAGAATCAACTTTGAAAGTCTTCATTGTAATTGGTTGCCAAATAAATTAAAGTTCATAGTACTTTGAATGGCTTAGCTGCATTTTTGTGTGATACTACCATGCTCAAATCTCCAGTCTGACAGGAACAGACTGTAAAACATTTCAAAAACTTTGAGGTCATGCAGATAGTGCAAGAAAATGCTTACACTTGGACTGTGGAGGAGACAGAGAGTGGAAGATATTGTAATGTTTGTCTAAGACACAGATACTTTGAAAGTTTTTCTATACACTATCCATGCATTTCATCACTTGTTTTATATACATATGCATTCAAAGTTATGGTGTTTTATGCTTTAGTGCTGTTTAGTACTCCAGTAAAGTGAAATTATTATGAAGATAATTTTTGTATACAGATTTTTCATTCCATTATCCATAGATAGAACATGTGAAAATCCCCAGAATGTAGATACTGAATAAGAACATAACTAATATTGGCCTGTCTTGATTCAAAATTTAATAATTGGTATGTTTATGTTTCATTTGGGTATTACAGTTTTATTTATCTTTTGCCTTCGAATTTTAAGTGTTCTCTATGCACAGACAATGTAATGAATGATTCACTCTATATAACACTCTGTACTGGCTTATGTCCTTGAATATATCAAATTTCATAGAAGATAATTAAGTAGAATAGGTACTTTTATACCACTGCAAAAGTAAAAATCAGATTGGCCCAATGGTTTTCTGGAGTAACAGCCTGCATGCTCTTTTTGTCTTGATAGCTGCACATTTGTATTTCAATCGTGTAGGGATACCGTCTCACAAAGAGCATATTGTCTATCCAAATAGATGCTTCATTTGGAGTAGATTTACATTACATTCATTTTAGCTGGCTTCTACTATCTCATCAAGCTGGTCAGGGGTGAAGAGTTCTGTGGTGCAGTGGGTAGGGCACTCACTAGATGCATGCGCTTACCTGCCATGGCTCTTTAAACTCACTTGATACAGTAGTTTCAGCTGCAAAACATGTTATAACAGTGGACCATTTCTGAATTCTTCAACTGTCCAACTTCAATACATCTGAGATTTGAAATGAAATATGCAGTGATTTAAGTGTCTCTTCACAGGTGTGAGTAGTAATAAAGAGGAAAATTCTAATGTGACTCCTTTTACTGCATGTATGAGAGAGTGAAAATAAGTTACAAAATTCAAATTTATAAATGATTTATTTTTCTTTATTTTTTGATAAACTGGATTACTCTGTGAGATGAACAAATACATATTGAAACAGATCTAAATATTGATACTATATTGTTGTCTGAGTACTTTGGTTATGAGCTTTTATGACTTCATTTTATAAAGCAGACAGATCCGTGATGAATTTTATATTCTTTTAATACAGACTTGGAGAAAATTAACATCACTACTTATAAACTATGCATGATCATAAATATCACTCCCTTACTCCCTTTTTCTGTGTTCATTTGAGGTTTCTGTTCACAACCAGTCACAGACAGTTCTGTCTGAAGGAATTTCAGTGTCATACTAGTTTCTAAAATACACATTCAATGTTATATATTTGACAATTTCCTAAGTTGGATTCTATTACTTTTTATATCAAATCAATAGGAAGGTCTTGTTTCCTCATTAGTTTCCATAAAGAGCAAAAGGAGACAGTGTATTGACTTTCATCTTGGCTGAATTATGAAAACAGGTCCTCCTGCTGTATCTAAAAGCTCTGCTCATGGGTCCTGGGCCTCCTTCTCCAATCATAAGCTTGATTTCACTTTTTGTTATCTTAAAATAAATGTAAGTATAATCAAGTTTTAAAAGAGTTGGAAAAATGTCATAAGATTTTAGCTGTTCCAAAAGTAACCCATAGTAACCTTTCTCTGAGGAATTACATGATTGGAAGGCCAAAGAACTATATAATATTTTAAAACTTTCCATGGATTAAAATACCATTCAGTTTTCTACATTACATTATTCAAATTCACTTACTTTTAAAATGTATTATTTTAGGTCATTTCAAGAGTAAGTTCGTGGGTTTGGTAGTTAGTAAATGATTTTTCCTTATGTTTCCAGCTTTTAAGCTTACTTTTCTAGTGCAATGTGAATGATAACCATGTAACTGTTACAGGATTACATGTTCAAAGGACTCAGAGATATACTGATTTTGAAATGAAAGGTTATAATTTATGAAAGTCTTTTAGATAATGCCATCACAAAATTCCAGTCTCGTTGCTTTCCCCATTCTATAGGTTGAAACAGTTGTTGGCTAAGCAATGAAGAAAACGATTCATATTGCTTTCAAAGTTCATAGATATTTTGTATCTTATACATGTGATTAAATTTGCTTAGGAATGTAAGAATGGAGGTAGAGTCCCAGGGAGATGGAGGTGAAGTAGGACAGAAAACTGAATAATGACTGTTAAGGTGTTGGGGATAGTGAAGGTCACATGCAGAAGTGACTTCTCACATGAAAGGGAATGAGTTAGAACAAGTTAAATACAATGTTTCAGGTGAATAATTTTACAAGGGAGGTATCAAGTGAGAATTCTCATTTTCATCATCAAATTTCAATTTCACTTTCAATTGTCATACTTCCTGAGTGATTTCAGGCAAGCTTTGGAGCCACGCAGGACTCCTTTTCCAATATTATTTTAAGAACATTAACTATATTTGGAAAGAAGACCTGCCACATAGTAATTTGAGAAAAAGGATACAGTAAGAAATAGTCTGATGCCATTTATATTTTTCAAAGTGGTTTGAAATACAATAGACTTAATATTGCTTCGTCAGATATTAAATATCAATTAAGTTTTGATGAGATCATCGATCAGTTATTCAAACATAATTATTGAGTACCAATTGGGTGTAAACACAGTGAAATATGGCAGGTTGACTCTAGCAAATAAATAAACTTTACCCAAATGGACCAAGTTTTTCAGCTTCATTCTATATGTGGTGTTTTAAAGAAAAAATATCTTTCTTATAGTTCTTCACCTAAGGATGAGACCTTGTAAAATTTCTCCCACCTATGTTGGGATATCAAATGGCATTTCAGTTTTGTTTAGGTAAATACATTGTTGTTGTTTCATAGTTGCTGCTTCCCTGTAACGTCTAAAAGTCACTGTCTAGCAGAAGGCGCCATGATCCTTTGGCTCTTACAGTCTTTCCAACTTTGGCAGTTGCAATCTTTCCAGCTCCTCTTCTTCAGGTTTTCCTTCACCTTACGTGTGCAGGTTGCATTGTACACGTGACAACTGAGGATGGTTACTCCATGGTCTCTGCATTTTGACCAGTTGTTGATATCGGTAATCAGCTCTATTTGTTGGAGAAAGAAGCTTTTCATGAGATGTTATAGCTACTCTTACCTCTGAATATAAGAACAAGTATTGAGAATACAGTTAGCAATTATATTGCTTTAGCGAAAAGGTAGTAGGAGGGTCTCCTCTAGGGTGTATGATGTCTTTAGTCAAGGGTAGTTGGCTAGGCTGCCGAATCAGTTCTTAATTTTCTCCAATGAAATACCTCTTAAATATGATTAGACATTTGTTGGTTACCCTCCAATTAAATATTTCATTATTACACAAGTGGTGGTTTCTCATCTGTTAGTGATAGCTGTGGTTAACTGGCTCCATGATTAGTAGATTACACGTATAATATGGGAGCTAACACTAAAAGAGGAGGCTTTCAGAACACTTCCAGCTTTGTTGCTTCAAGTCCTGTGACTGAACTGTGTGTTGTCTTAAGCAGTACGGTCTTACCTTTGAATTCTGAGAGGCAGCCAAGGGTAATGGTAATAAACAGCCTACATTGTTCTGAGAGTCTGTTTGATCCACCTGGCCAACAACTCAACAGTCAGTACTCATGACTGGTACTGGGGGTTTTGTTAGGTAGTCCTGGCTACTGGGATGAGCATTATAACCACATAATGAGTAGCGTCATAAGTATATAATGCTGTTTTACTGAGTCTGGATTACCTCATTCAGGATGATTTTTCTTGTTCCATCCATATGCTTGCAAATTTCATGAAACTATATTTTTTAACAACTGATTAACATTCCATTGTGTAAATGTACCACATCTTTGTTATCCATTCTTATTCTGAGTTACATCTAGTCTGTTTACAGGTTTTGGTGATTATGAATAAAGATGTTATAAAGATAGTTTAGCAAGTGATTTTTGGTAGCATGAAACATCCTCTGGGTATATGCCCAAGAGTGGTATAGCTGGATATTGAAGTAGATAAGTTCCCAATTTTCAGAGAAAACTGCCATGTTGATTTGCAAAGTAACAGTACAAGTATGCACTCCCACCAACAATGCATAAGTGTTCTCCTTGCTCTACATCCCCACTAACATGGACTATTACTTGTGCTTTTGATCTTAGCCATCTGACAGGTGTAAGATATAACTGTTTTGATTTGCATTCCCCTGATGGCTAAGGGTGTTGGAACATTTTTTAACAGTTTCTCTGTAACTTAGGATTCCTCTGCTGAGAATTCTATGTTTAGATATA